CCAGATGGCTCATTGAGCCCATCTGTCTACAGGAAAGTAACTCATACCGACGCCTACCTAAAACATGATTCCCACCACCATCGATCCCACCAGAATGTCCTCATGAAAACGCTATACCATAGAGCTCAATGTATCTCCGACCATGAACACCTGACGAGTGAACTCAAACACGTACACAAAACTCCCAAGGCGAATGGATATTCTGACTACACAATCTGCAAAGCCATCACCCCAACCGTGAGGAAGGAGCCATTTGAAGATCAAATCAAGTGGTGGTGAGAGATAAAGCGATGAGAGATAAAATTATGAGAGATAAAGCGACGAGAGATAAAGTGAATCGAGTTAAATTGAATCGAGATAAAGTGATGAGAGTTAAAGTGAAGATCCAATCAAAACCATCACCAAAAAGAATTCCAAAATATTGAACAAACACAAGATCCAGGTCCAATTTAACACAGTGCGTAAAATTCGTGATCTGATCCCATCTGTGAAGGACAAGATTCCTGATATGCAATATCCCGGCCTTGACAAACTAAGCTGTATCTGCGGCAGCAGTTACCTTGGGGAAACTAAACTTCATGCCTCGGACCGTGTTCATGAACATAAGGGAGATCTGAAACACGGCAGGACCAATACTTCTGCCATGGCTGATCATTACTTTAATGCGGCTGGCTCACGTGAAGTTGATTTCCCTAAGACGATGGTACTTGCAAGCCCACTCGCTATCAACAAAAATTCGTTCACGAAGCCATCCATATATACCGACACAGACACAATTTCAACTCAGAAATCATTGGAAAGATGTCATCAACCACTTTGGGCCATGACTTGTTTTGTGTTTTCGTGTCAACCTCTACCGTCAGCAGTGTGGATGTTTGTAGCGAGGTGCAATGCCCCCCCCGCCACCATCGCTACCCACCTCTTTCTCCCCCTATCTCTACCCCCTTCCTACCCCCATTGTCTACTCCTACATTGCCACTGGCTGACTTACACCGCTCAGCTCTCCTACTCCCAGCTACCGCATTGTCGACTCTTACATTGCCACTGGCTCAGTGGCTGCCCCGTCCATGCTGTGTGTGCCGCGAAGCCCTCCTCCTCCCAGCTCTCGTCCCCCGTCCACTAACTTTGGAAGCCCTTAGCATAAGCAGTTGCATTTGGAGGCTTGCCCCGTCTTTTCTCTCTGCCTGATGAAGACCGCTTGGTGTTGCGATTGAAACGTCGTGGGTTTTTTGCTTTTATTATTTTCAATTTTTTAAAATGTACATTTTTTTTTTGTATTTTCACATCTATGTTGCGTCCTATAACTAACCACACGGAGACGTCTGCTGGAGGCAACAAGTTTATTGAATAACTCTGAACACTCTGTTAAAGCTACTCTGTTAACCACGACTCTGTTAACACGGAGAGGTGCGACCCCTTCCACTCTATTCTAAGGAAGAGACAGCCTCCCTTCTAGCGTACTCTACCCACTCTGGGCTACGCACACGCCGGTCCGTTGCGACGGCGGCTAGGAGAAGGCTGGACCGACCGACCCACCCAGAAGTACAGGACTCGCCCTGGACCGCTTCAACCCCGGCTTAGCAAGAGCCTCGGGGAGGGTCCCAGGGGGTCCGAGCTACCTCGGCTCCGCTTCAACCGGCTTACGAGAGCCACGGTTGAGGGTCCCCGGGTCGCTGGTCCAGTCTTCAGATCTTCAAATGTCTTCGAGCTTGAGTTGGTGAGTACTGCAACGACCGTCCCGAGGGCCGGCCTTTTATCTCCAGGTCGGCGTCACCCCTCCCCTCATGACCCCCCCTCCAGAACCTTCTGGAAGATCTTAGAGGGTCTTAATTCTTAAGAGGTCTTAGTAAGTGGAGGGGGGCCATCATCTCCCTCAGTCCCCAGCCCCTGGGGGGTCTGGGGTGTCAACCTCCGGTCACGGAGGGGCGGGGGTTTGACCTTCGGTCAATCCCTACCCAACTCGCTCTCTCTCTCGGCTGCCCCCTGTCGGCCCGTGAGCGTGGCGGCAGGTCAGCTGCCTACAGCGCCTTGTTATGGCACAACATCTACGTGACTTTATCGAAAGAAACAAGAATATAGAGAACATTTAAGCGAGATAAAGTAACGAGGGATAAAGCATGATGCCGGCGGCGGCGTGTGTAGCAGCGTGTGAGTTGTTTTTGTGAGTTGTTTTGCGTGAGTGTAAACTGTGCGTGAGTGTGTGAAAATGTGAGTGAGAATGAGCTGTGTGTGAGCTGCGTGTGAGTGTGTGTGAGTGAGCCGTGCGTGTGAGTGAGCCGTGTGAGGGTGAGCCGTGTGAGAGTGGCTGTGACGAGAGGGACTTCTGCGTTCGTGTGTGTGTGATGGTGTGGTGATGTGCACTCTGTGTGTGATGGAGTGGTGATGTGCACTCTGTGTGTGTGTGATGGAGTGGTGATGTGCACTCTGTGTGTGTGTGATAGTGTGGTGGTGTGCACTGTGTGTGTGTGATGGTGCGGTGATGTGCACTCGTGTGTGTGTGTGATGGTGTGATGGTGTACACTCGTGTGTGTGTGATGGTGTGATGTGCGCTCGTGTGATGGTGTGATGGTGTACACTCGTGTGTGTGTGTGGTGGTGTGGTGATGTGCGCTCGTGGGTGTACCTGGCGCAGCCTGAGTGAGGCCTGGTTGGTCCCGCATGTGGCGCAGCCTGAGTGAGACCTGGTTGATTGTGCACCTGGTGCGGCCTGGGTGGGGCCTGGTTGGTCGTGCACATGACACAGCCTGAGTGAGGCCTAGCTAATCATGCACCTGGCGCAGCCTGAGTGAGGCCTAGCTAGATCGTGCGCCTGGTGCAGCCTGAGTGAGGCCTAGTTAATAGTGCACCTGGAGCAGCGTGAGTGAGGCCTAGTTAATCATGCACTTTGCGCAGCCTGAGTGAGGCCTAGGTAATACTGCACATGACACAGCCTGAGTGAGGCCAAGTAAATCGTGCACCTGGCACTGCCTGAGTGAGGCCTGGCTAATAGTGCACCTGACGCAGCCTGAGTGAGGCCTAGTTAATCGTGCACCTGGCGCAGCCTGAGTGAGGCCTAGTTAATCGTGCACCTGGCGCAGCCTGAGTGAGGTCTATTTAATAGTGCACGTGGCACAGCCTGAGTGAGGCCTAGCTGATCGTGCACATGACACAGCCTGAGTGAGGCCGAGTAAATCGTGCACGTGGCGCAGCCTGAGTGAGGCCTAGTTAATCGTGCACATCGCACGCCTGAGTGAGGCCTGGTTGTACACATGACACTGCCTGGGTGAGGCCTGGTTAATGCACAAGGCACAGCCTGAGTGAGGCCTGGTAGACAGTGCACCTGGCGCAGCCTGAGTGAGGCCTAGGAAATCGTGCACCTGGCGCAGCCTGAGTGAGGCCTGGTTGATTGCGCCCATGGCACAGCCTGAGTGAGGCCTAGTTAATAGTGCGACAGACCACAAGCTGTGTTCCTGCCGAGGCGGCATTGCCACGGACCCCAAGCTGTTCCTGCCAAGGCAACATGGCCACGGACCCCAAGCTGTATTCCTGCCAAGGCAACATTGCCACGGACCCCAAGCTGTGTTCTTGCCAAGGCAACATGGCCACGGACCCCAAGCTGTGTTCTTGCCAAGGCAACATTGCCACGGACCACAAGCTGTATACCTGCCAAGGCGGCATTGCCACGGACCCCAAGCTGTGTTCATGCCAAGGCAACATTGCCACGGACCCCAAGCTATGTTCCTGCCAAGGCAACATGGCCACGGACCCCAAGCTGTGTTCTTGCCAAGGCAACATTGCCACGGACCACAAGCTGTATTCCTGCCAAGGCGGCATTGCCACGGACCCCAAGCTGTGTTCCTGCCAAGGCAACATTGCCACGGACCCCAAGCTATGTTCCTGCCAAGGCAACATGGCCACGGACCCCAAGCTGTGTTCTTGCCAAGGCAACATTGCCACGGACCACAAGCTGTATTCCTGCCAAGGCGGCATTGCCACGGACCCCAAGCTGTGTTCCTGCCAAGGCAACATTGCCACGGACCCCAAGCTATGTTCCTGCCAAGGCAACATTGCCACGGACCCCAAGCTATGTTCCTGGCAAGGCAACATTGCCACGGACCCCAAGCTGTGTTCCTGCTAAGGCAACATGGCCACGAACTCCAAGCTGTGTTCCTGCCAAGGCAACATTGCCACAGACCCCAAGCTGTCTTCTTGCCCAGGGAACATTGCTACGGACCCCAGGCTGTGTTCCTGCCAGGGCAGCATTGCCAACACAAACAATCATCATCAGGTGTTTCCCTTCTACGTGACTTTACCGAAAGAACCAAGAATACAATTTGAAGCATATTCTTGGTTCTTTCGGTAAAGTCACGTAGAAGGGAAACAATAAAATAATAAAAAATATTAAACAATAATATGTTTTATAATAAAAATATAAAACAATGTTTTATATTTGTATTATTTTATTCTTTCCCTTCTACGTGACTTTACCGAAAGAACCAAGAATATGAATCCCTGCAGTCACGAAAGCTTTAAATCAGGATTTGAAGCATGTTTAATTTTTTTTTGGGGGGGGAGCAGAGCTTTGTGACGTCATATTTGATGGGGGGGGGGTCTGACTTTTTGTGACGCCGTGTGACTAGGGGGGTGGGTCAAAAATCGTCCAAAATCGCGTGACGTCATTTATAGACGGCCCCTAAAATGCTGAGAGATGAGACTTCCCTACCCCGTGTTGTAATTTCCCACGAGGGAGGAGGATCCAACCCCAACCCCTCCCGCACCGCACGGATTGAGTCCGCAGCTGGGGCCAACGTTGGGGTGGGAACGGATCGCGTTCGTAAATCGAGGAGTTGCCCCTCCACCATCAACCCCCCCCCCCCCCCATCGCTTAGCCCCGCCCCACCGGCGTTGATTTCCCGGAATCGATTTTTGTTGCCGTCGCGGATTCGACAGTTTGCTCGGAATCGATGGGAGGAATCGATTCCCCCCCTCCCCACAACTTCCACCATTGCTCAGTCGCTTCAGGTCACGCAGCAGGCAGCAAGAAGCAAGCAGCACGCAGCAAGAAGCAAGAAGCAAGCAGCAAGCAGCAAGAAGCAAGAAGCAAGCAGCAAGCAGCAAGAAGCAAGCAGCAAGAAGCAGGCAGCAAGCAGCAAGAAGCAGGCAACAGTCATCAAGAAGCAGGCAGCAAGAAGCAGGCAGCAAGAAGCCAGCAAAGCAGCAGTCATCAAGAAGCAAGCAGGCAGCAAGAAGCAGGCAGCAGCAGGCAGCAAGAAGCAAGCAGCAAGCAGTCATCAAGAAGCAAGCAGCAGGCAGCAGCAGCAGGCAGCAGCAGCAAGCAGCAGCAGCAGCAGGCATCAAGAAGCAGGCAGCAGGCAGCAGCAGGCAGCAGCAGCAGCAGGCAGCAGGCGTTGGTTCCGTGTGAACGCTTCCGAAGGCGGCGCAGGCGATCGGGACATCAATTCGGTGAACTTTGAACGTTGCAGCAAAAATCGTTGAAATCATTTAAATTAATGAAAAAAGTTTCGGCGGCGGCGGCGTTGTTCCGCCGGTGCTCGGGGTGCCCGGGGTGCCCGGGGCCTGCCGCCCTGGTCGGTAGGGGATTCTAGGCGAGCGCGGAGGGCCCGAGAACCCGTCGGGGGCCTACAGGAGGCGGGGTGAAAAAAAGTTTTAAAAGTTACATTAATCACACACACATATAGTCACATATAATAATCACAGACACACATTTCACGTACATAATAATCACACGCATAATTACATACATTACAACAACCGCCATTCGCCACTAAGTGGCCGTGACGTCACCACGACGCTTGTGCCAGGCTATGTGCACCCTGAGGCCACGTGGAGTGTCGAACGCCCGCTGGCAGGAGGTCACGGGGCAGACCCAGATGCCACGGGTCGACTGACTGAGATGACTGGCTGATGCACCACCTGTGCCCCCTACTGTGCCAACCTGCTGTGCTTTAGCCACCCGGCGCTCCGCTTGTTGTTCTGAGCGTCGTTCCTCCGCCCTCCGTTGTTGTTGGAGGGCGACTACCTCCAACTGCCCAGAAGTCCACTCAGCTCCACGTCCTCCTGTACCACATCACTCCATCTCTTCTCTAGCCCGTGCCGCGCCCGCTTAGCCCCCTCGATCCGGCCGAACAAAAGCTGTTTCAGCATGCGGTGGCTGGGCATGCAGGCTACCTGACCCAGCCTTCGCAGCCTTCCCCGCCGGAGGAGCTCACTGATGGGACCCTGCCCAGATCTTTCAAGGATTTTTGAGCTCCTCACACAATCCAGTCTGGTTAAACCCAGGATGGATCGTAGGCAGGCCAGCCTAAATGTTTCTAACCGGCAAAGATGTTCCATTAGGGGGGTCCACGTTTCGCAAGCGTAGAGAAGGGAGGGAATGACCGTGGCCGAGAAGACCTGAAGCTTAGTGCGGAGCGACAGACCAGGTAGCTTCCACACAGCGTTACGCAACCGATGAAAAGATATTGCCGCTCAACTGATTCGGAGTGAGACTTCTGCTGTTAAACTGGAGCCAGTCATAAGCGCACTGCCCAGGTATGGGAAACTCTCCACTCTCTCCACAACTGCCCCATCACCGATTGGGAGTTGTGGGGATGGAGTGTCCGATGGTACAAAATACCCAGGCAGGTGCTTAGTTTTGGTGGGGCTGATGGTAAGGCCCCACCTCTTAGTGGTACGCTCCAGTCTCAGCAGCAGCGTCTCCAACTCGTCCTCTGAATGAGCAGCTATTACCAAATCATCAGCATACATAACGTGGTTGAGCAATAGGGAGCCATCCCTTGACCGCACCCGGGCATCGATCAGCCTCCCATTATATCTGTACCATATGGAGATTCCCCCGGTACAGCTATTGAAGGCTTCACGAAATACGTGGTCAAAATAGATGTTAAATAATGTGGGAGCCAGAGGACATTCCTGTCGCACCCCAAGGTGTACAGGGAATGGCTCTGACTCCCGGCCACGTAGTTTTACCCGGGCCTGCTCACCATCATGAAGGTCCTTAATGATCGTGAGCAGAGGGTCAGGTACTCCAAAAGCACGAAGAAAAAACACGAGCCCAGGCCTACTGATGGTATCATAGGCCTTGACCAGGTCAATAAAACAATCACACACATAATCACATACATAATAATCACACACACATAATTACATACATAATCACACACACAAAATTACATACGCAATAATCAAACACATAATCACAAAAGCATAATCACACGCACACATACCCCTAGACAACGAGAGAGCCAATAATAATCGAACCTACTTAATAAGCACACACAATCACATAATAACTGAACACACACATAATCACTCACATAATCACAGACATAATCACTCACATAATCACATACACTTAATTAACTCAATTACAAACACATAACTCACACACAATCACATACACAATCACATACACAATCACATACACGTCCAATAATAATTTTGAACACACACACGAATTACACTTAACACACATTTCCAGTTCAGAACACTTAATTACACACGTTAACATATTTTACGTAATTATTATTTTATTATTATTTTTAAAATCATTTTCATTTTCACATTTAATTCATCATTTCGTCACAATATATACAACAGACGGATGATCTCACATGAGGAGCGTGAGTAGCAGCATGGAGAGTTCGACTCCTGCCACCTCGACAACGGCGACAGCGACGTCTGAGGCCGTTTGACCGGGGAAGTACCGAGACTTGCGTCGTTTACAGAGGACTATGGAGTGAAGATCTTTCGCTGAAGCAGTGGGGCGAAGGGCTAAGCACCCATACATGTGAGTAGGTAGATGGATGATGATGATGAAGTGGATGAAAATAATAATAATAACCATGCTGAAAAAGTTACAACCAACACCCACTCATCTGCACCCAACACCCTCCCACCGGCTAATCTGCCACTCCCTCACCCACGACCCACCCAGCCATCTACAGAGACCTCCCCCCCCCCTCACATCTCTCCACCAGCCCACACTCATCTCATACCTGCACAGGTGCCCACCCAATTACCCGCCCATCCATTCACACAGCCACCCAACTGATCACTCATCCGAAAGAACCAAAGAGTATGGATCACTCACCCACCAAATAACCCGGCCATCCATTCACACACCAACCCAACTGATCACTCACCCACCCAATTACCCGGTCCATCCATTCACAAACCCACCCACCTGATCACTCACCCACCAAATAACCCGGCCCACCCTCCAACTCGCCCATCTGCTCACCCGCCCACCGACTCACCCATCCAGCCGATCGCCAACCACCAGGACTAAAACCGCATCCCAAGAAAAAAATGATTTTACAAATGACCATCAGAGATCACGAGGCACAGATTGAACACATGAAGTTGATGTAGATTTGAAAATTCCAAATTTAGAATTCTAAAACACATGCTGAATAAATAAATAGTAATGACTGTGACGAGTATAATGTTTAGTGCTAGACCACGTGAATATAAATGTGTCGTTAAAGCCCCCACCACCTGACACAACCAATCAGTAAAGTTTGCCACTTAAATAAAAAGTGCCAACTAGTTACTACTTCAGCACACCGGTGGTGTATTGGAGAGTAAATCCACAACGATGACAATTCCGAGTATGATGTATTGCTGGAGATTACAACCAGCTACATCAGGCGATAGCCAGAATTGTCAAAAGGTAAATGCTGTGGGTTTACTCTCCAACAGCCAACCGGTGTGCTATAGTAACTAATCGGAATGTTCTGTTTAAGTGACAAACCTTAATTCATTGGCTGTGTAAGGTAGTGGCGGGTTTAACGACACTTTTATATTTACGGGATCTAACCCAAAATGAAAAAAAAATATTACAGCTAATATTTATCACGAAAGCCTACGTATAACTTTAAAACTTTAATAATAATTTACAACGTGCAGTTTACTCTGAAAAACCCCAGCCTCACCCTATCTGGTGTAACCAGTCTGTGGGAAAAACCATCAACTTTTCATGGTTACAATGGGGTTTTTGTATAAATATATCAATTGTGGATCTTACACCCTGACACTGTGTGAATGTAACGCCACGTCTACACAGGTGAGCAGGGCTGCCGCAGGGAACATTCCAGGGCGCGTCTCGTGGTGTTTATAATTTAACTGCAGGTGAAGTCAGTTCGTTTCCTTGTTCGTCGTGGCTGCTCTGTGATTTTTTTTCTACATCTTGCTGCGGTGGCTCTGAGATGTTAACTACCTCGCCTGGCACACAGGAGGTCGCGGGATCGATCCCGGCCCTGATGCCTGCTGTATAGTTGGAGTCTGCGTCTCTTTCTCATCATCCCGGTGTCTCGTAGATGTTAACTACCTCGCCTGGCACACAGGAGGTCGCGGGTTCGATCCTGGCCCTGATGCCTGCTGTATAGTTGGAGTCTGCGTCTCTCTCTCATCATCATCCCGGTGTCTCGTAGATGTTAATTACCTCGCCTGGTACACAGCAGGTCGTGGGTTCGATCCCGACCCTGACGCCTGCTGCTGTATATTTTGAGTTTGCGTGTCTCTCTCGCCGTGGTTCTGTGGATTTTTCTCCGCTCCCTCCGCTCTCCCCTCGAAATTTAGAATTCACATCACGCGTTCAGAGTTTTTGGATGAGAAAATGTCCACGGGAAAAGTCACTTCGCTGGGCTTCCATTTGTGGCCAGGTCATCTGTGGGAAAAAGAGCTACGTAGCTCAGTGGACCTTACTACCTTGTGAAATATTTTTGTTATTTTTTTATAGAATCTGCCAAACTCAGCGAGTCCAGGATTTAAAATGTCAACATTGACAAGAATAGGTGATAAATACTTTTTTTGTTTACGTGACGGTGATTTTAAACGTTGAGCAAGATTTTTTAAGGCATATTAGGAAAATGTACAGTGATAGTCATACCGATTTTGAGCTTAAACGAGCGACGATGTTTGTTTAGCCAGAGGCTGTTCGCTGTGGTAATGCGTGAGGCCACCCACCCAGGGACCCAGCCACTCAACCGCACGCCCTCCCAGCCACCCTTCCTCCCTCCATCACCGCCTGCTCGCCCACCCTTCACCCCATCCTCCTGTCCATCTGTTTCCCCTCTCATCAAATAACCACCCTACTCACTCACTCAACCTCCACGACCACCCACTCACTCGCTCGTACCTTCGATTAGCACGAGTGGCTACGCTCGCTGCGAAATAATTTCAATATACATACTCACCCACTCACCCACGCACCCACTCACCCAACCATTCACCCAACAACAACAACAACAACAACCGCCATTCGCCACTAAGTGGTGGTGACGTCATCACGACGCTTGTACCAGGCCACGTGCACCTTGAGGCCACGTGAAGTGTCGAACGCCCGCGGGCAGGAGGTCACGGGGCAGACCCAGGTGCCACGGGTCGACTGACTGAGATGACTGGCTGGTGCACCACCTGTGCCCCCTACTGTGCCAACCTGCTGTGCTTAAGCCACCCGGCATTCCGCTCGTTGTTATGAGCATCGCTCCTCCGCCCTCCGTTGTTGTTGAAGGGCGTCTGCCTCCAACTGCCCAATAGTGTCCTTCACGAGCCTCCTCCACAGAGGCCGATCTTGACACCACTGGTACCAGTAGTCGGCAAGTCCACTCAGCTCCATGTCCTGCTGTACCACATCACTCCATCTCT